AATAGAGTGCTCGGAACTCTTGGGAAAGGCAGAAGAAGGGGGGCCCTGTGGCTCAGGGCCACCACAGATCTCTACCAGAAGCCGGCTCTCAGAAATGGTCAGACACTTGAGAGTCTGCATGGGGCCCAAGGATTTATTTTGGTAGGGTGACCCTGGATGTGTAAGCTCAAAGGAACATGTGTCGTCGAACAAAAGAACAGTCCGAGGATTTATTTCAACGCCATCTTAAAATAACCTCAACCAAAAATACCATTTTCTGCAAGCGTAAGTAAGAGAAAGGGATTGAAAAAAAATGTTTAGAAGAAAATAAATTAAGAACAGATGCTAGGCCTGATATAATTCAAATACTAAGTGAATGGAGCAATCTATTAATGACAGATTTATCAAATAGAATAAAGTCATTTAAAAAAAAAAGTTAACTTGTTTTGGGAGAAAAAGACCTTGCAGTGACTCAATACAAGAATGCTAGAGGCTTTTGTGTGTGTGAAAAATGATGTATTATCACAAAATATCTAAAAATATTTCTAAATTTCTAAAATCCTTCTGAATTCGACATATTTCTGACAAAAGCATTAGCCAATAAAATATTAAATAAACCTTTACTTACAAAGCTCGTTGGAAACTATGGGAAAATATTTTTCCAAGGCCAAGCTGTGCCAAACGGAACTTATGGTGGTCCAATGGGAACAGACAGCTCGGGCACAGAGAGAGGCAAGCCTTATCCTCTCCCACCAACCCTGACAACTCCGAGGGCCTGAGGATGGAAGAACAGAGGCCAACCGTTCCGGGAAAAGGCAGCCTGCATCGTGTCTACACATCCCCACGCTACGAAATGAGTGTATAAAGTAAAACGTCTCACAGATACAAACACAGGGGGCCTCTTCTGAGTGCTCAGAGGAAAAGCTACACCACTGCCCTGCCACAGTGAAGTGACATGCTCAGCAGCACATCCTAATACCCAGGCCTACCCAATGATACCTCTTTGCTCGACCAGCTGGTGCAGTGGCCATTCTCTATCCTTTAAGCTGCTATAATGCCTCTGGTAATTTACACTTACCAAGCACTGCCTTAACGCAGGCTATTCCTACAGTACTGCATAGAATCTAATCTCAAGGAAAGCACTAGTTATTTTGTGTTTGATCCTGCAGCCCCATGAACAATGCCAGGCAAACACTTTTATAGATATTCCATGGCTTACTGGATTCCAGAAGCAATAAACCGTAACAACTGGAGATCAACCACCCTCAACTGTAGGATCCCTAGGGATGGGCATCACCAGTTTTTCATCTGTGTAGACTAATGCCTAACATATGTATCAAAATATTCATTCAATGAATGAAAATTAATACTGCTTTGGTTAAAAACAAAGCGTATGAGAACCTGTAGGTAGATCTGGGCATGATTAAGCAGGAAGGCATTCTTAACTGAATTTGAATCTTTAGATGAGATAAAGAGAAATATTCTATTATGGAATACATAGTAAGCAGAGGAAACAAAGAACAGGAATAATAAAGGAAAAGAGAACTCATGTCCTATAATTAAAACGAGACACTCAAGTCTTGAAGCTTCAACCCGAAGTCACATTACAACATATTCTCTAGTCATTTGTTCGACAGTGTGGGGCAGGGTGGGGGTTCCTCCCTCTTGTAGCAGACATTGTCCTGGATGCAGAGAATACATAAATACTTGAGTTAAAGTCACTGCCTGCACCCTACTTGGGGATGGGTAGGCAAGAAACAGACAATACACCAGATGGGCAAATAAAATGAAGTTTGTGTGCATGCATCTGTTTATGCTAGAGGACCCAAGATCTGAGGGAGGAAATTAAAGCAGATAAACATATCGGTAGGGACAGTGGTCTGCTCAGAAAAGGCTTCTCTAATAAAATAGTGAGCTTTTTCAAAGAAGAGAAACAACTCAGTGAATCGGCCACATGGAAATGTAGGGAAAGAACCTTCTAAGAGGGGAGAAAATATAAAGACAGGAACAGCCATGGATGCCCAGGTGGGGATGGCTGATCAGAGCATGTCAGAGGTGGGGAAGAATGGATGGGGTGGCATAGGTTACAGAGATGAATCTTGGAGGGTCTTCTAGACCAGGATATGAAATCAACTTTGACGTTGTGTGTGGTAGGAAGCCTGCAAAGCTTACAGGAGAAAAGGAATGGGGCTTGAGAAAGAAATGTTCTAGAAATGAAAAGGTTTTCAAAAAAGAGATTTCAAACACACTGTATAAAATAATTACACTATGTTTGTTTAATTCCAAATGGCAGTGTAAGTTTTGTGAACCTAGGTGTGCCAGTCATGTTAACCATCCGAGATCCAGGCCTGTACACAAAGATCTACCACACAAGAAGCATGCAAGTTAACAAATGCATGGACAGCCTTTCAGGCTATCTACTTAGTTCAAAGGCAGGTTCCCCACTCCCCACCCCCACCACCAATTTAAACTATCACTGCTCAAACTGGTTGAATTGTAACTTGTGCTTTGCCACATGCCCAGAGGAATAAAACTTTCTTTCAGAGCTTGGCAATAAATTTATTTCTCCGGGAATCTGTGATAAGCAGTGTTTCAGTAAGCAAAAAAGAGGAGAAAAGTAAATATACAATTTTTATAAAGTTGTCATGGCCTGCCACCAAGCTTTAAGTGGAAGCTATTTTTAAACTATTTCAAATGGCTGTGGGAGGAAGGGTTGGGTCCATGTCCTGGGAAGTACTCTTACTCCCAAAGGCTTCAACTAGCTGTCCACCGGGGGAAAGGGCACTAGAAAAAAATAGTTTAAACTGTTCCTGGCCTAAGAAATATGATACAAAATGAGCTACTCGCAGGCCCTCAGAGCAACCAGCAAGAGTACAAAGCTGAGCCTTCACACACACACTGTCACGGAATTTGGATATCTGGTCAAGAGGCTTAACTTCATACATACTTTCACAGCATCTCCTGTTCAAAGTGGAAAAAGTAGGAAAAATAAGGTCCAAGTCAGGAAGAGAACACCCTGTGTAAATCTCCTCTGTAAAATGAAGCATCTCAGTCACTGCTGTGCCTGCAGAGATTAGGAAGGAGGGATGAAAACTTAACCATAAGTGAGTCCACCGAGGGAAATGCTAAAATTGACCAAGAAGTAAATAATGGCAAAGGTGGCCACACACAGGAGTTCAATGTCTCCGTGACTCAAGCATGAAAATGTACATAACAAGTGCTCTAACTGAATCCCTCTTCAGTACAAATGGCACTTTTCTCCACTACAGAACTGTGTCCCCACTTCTCCACACATGCACTCCAAAAAGACCCTCCCTCAGGAATCTGCGCAATGCCCAGACTGTTGAATCTCCCCAAGCAAAACTGGATACTTTCCTAAAGTCCATGAGCTTGCAGAGATTAATGTTTTTATTAAAGAAAAATACACTCTGAAAGCATGGGTGTGAACTAGCATTGGGTTACACAAAGTCACTCTTTGTAGATTGCCTCCAGGGGAGAAAAATATTTAAACCCATTGTGAAGTGTGGAAGGGAGTAAGTAGGTCAAATGAAATGTTTGGATTGAGAAAATTCTTTTTATTCTCATATTGCATGGAAGTTTTCTCAGCACACAAACCTGGCGTCATCTCCTTTTGCAATCAGAGTAGTAATAATAAAAAGTGCTAAGAAACACCATGAGCCTTGTTATTAAGTGTTGTAAATACATTCTTTGTCTGTTCTGTAAAAGTCAAAGACCAGGGAGCCACAGTTTTGAGAGTTCTCAAGAACTCACTGAGGCCATAGACCTGGTTGTAGTCAGGACTGTGGTACTGACCACAGACGGACACAAAGATGAAAGAAACAAGACTGGGCCGAGAAAGCCACACATCTGTGCAGAATTGATTCTTAGCACATGTGCCAAGCCAAGGAGCTGGATCAAGCAGGGTCTTTTGAATAAACAGCTCTGAAGCAACTGGTATTCCAGAAGTCAAAGGACCACAGCCCCTAGACCTCACCCAAAAAACAAAACTTCATTCCAAGATAGAAAACCTAAACATCTAAGACTTCGGGACCTCGGGTTAGGCAATGGTTTGTAAAAAAACAAGGCATCAAGGAAGGCACTAGGAAAACAGATTAAACTGGACTCCCACCAAATTAAAACCTTAATGTTTCAAAGGTCAAAAGAGAAAAGACATCCCATGGAATGAAAGAAGATAATCACAAGTCATATATGTGCTCATGAGTTGAATCTATGAAGAACACTTATAGCTCAAAAATTAAAGGCAGATAACCCAGCTCAAAACAAGCAAACAATTTAAACAGATCTGTATCCAAATAAGATATAATCAACACACACAAGAAATACTAGTAGTCAGAATAATGATCTCTTGGGGAGGTGCAAACTACCCCCAGTAGAGATCACATCCCACCATTTACAGAATAACTATAATCTTGAAAGTAGACAGTGAATGCTGGTGAGGAGGTGATGAAATTGGAATGCTCATTCATCTTTATTGGGAATATAAAATGGTGCAATATCTTTAGAAAACTGTTATGAACCAGTAGACTCCTGATTATATACCCAAGAGAACTGGAAAACATGGGTTCCTCAAAAACACTTGCTCACGAGTTTTTGTGGATGCACTACTCATAGTAGATAAAATATTCAGAAATAATCCAAATACCTATCAACTAAGAACAATCTTGAATACATCTACAATAAAATATTAATCAGCAATAGCTGGGCAATGTAGCTCAGGACATAGGCTCTAGCCTCACACTGGAACTAGGTAAACCATGTGTGGTGGGGTGTGCCTGTAACCCCAGTAGTTCAAAAATCATTATCTCTGAACTAGTATAAGCTACAGAAACCTGTCTCAAAACAAATAAGAATGTTATTTAGCAATATATTCTAAAAATAAGATGAGCCCTAAAACATTACACTAACTCAAAGAAGTTAGGAACAAAGAATAACATATCATATAATGCCATTTAAATAAAATGTCCAGAAAGGGCAAATCTGTAAGCCACAGTATGGGGAGATACAAAGGGAAAATAACTGCTAACATAGCCAGGGTTTCATTTTAGAACATGCTTAGGGTTAAAACTATTGGAAAATGATATTTCTTTTTTTTTTTTAATGAACCAAAATTTTTATTCATTCATGTCTTGCACTTGAAGTACTCTTCGATGACATCCTTGGCCCGAGATTCTTTGCCATAGTCTTCAACCACTACACAACTGCAATCAACCACTTTCCATGGCTTCCCTTCTTGATCAGTTTTACAGAGGCCTACCCATTCCCCTAGCTTCTTGTTGTCATCAACCTTAATCAGGTTGATGTGGTGCTCGGCACAAAGTGCCTCCACCAACTTGACACCCCTAGGCTCATCACAATTGGATGCGAGCACACAGAGACGGGCTTGGCACTTGTCTAAGGCTCTGACAGCTTCGCGGATGCCACGTGCTAGGCCATCGTGGATGAGGGCGGTCTTCAGCACCTCTTGTAGAGCAGTATTGACGTCCATTATATTTCTATACAAATGTCATTTTACCTGGAAGACTTTTATCATCGTGTATAAAGAACAGTCCTAACTCACTCCCAGCCACCTGTTTTCTCGGAGTTCTCCAGTTTTCTCCATCACATTGTCTCCCACAACATGCACACACATGGCATGCATATTCAGCCTTCATCCAGCTACTTAAAAAGGAATTGGCAGCTAGCTGCATTCTACACTATATGAATGAATAAAAATACAATTTAAGAATGAAGAATTCTTTAGTTCTGTGACAGACTGTGTGCCCTAAATATCAAAGGCTGACTTAGGACAGCAAGACTTCATCCACGTATTGCTAAACCTATTAGAAGGGAGGATTTCAAGAAACATAGGGGTGTGTGTGTGTGTGTGTGTGTGTGTGTGTGTGTGTGTGTGTGTGTGTGTGATGAGGACATGAGATGCCCTGTTCTGTCACTCTTTCCCCTATTCTTTAGCGGTAGGATCTATCCGTGAACCTGGCACTCGAGAGTTTGAGGACTCCACTGGTGGTCAGCATGCCCCGATGACCCTGCTGTCTCACAATCCCTGCTTGCAGCCAGCCCCTCTTTTTCACATGGGAGCCTGGGATGGAATTAGGGTCCTCACTTTTGTGGCACCAAACACCCACGGAGCCATCTCTCCAGCCCTAAGTATGGATGACTTTTGAGGTATGGTTAACCCAATTTCTGTGAGGATTTGGCTTTCTAAAAACAAAAGATATAACTGCCACAGCTATGCTTTAAAGTGCAACAAACACAGCCATCTTGCCTTTGAAGTGTGAGAGACCATGTGTGAGTGCACAGACTATCTCCTCTGCAGTTGTTAAAAAAAAGTACTGGATGATACAGAACATATCTAGATGAAAACACAATGCTGCATCTGATTCTTTTGGTAAAATCAAATTGCAATATAAAGAAAAAGTAAGCAGAATGTTTGATAACACAAATGCAAACTGTTAACCTGGAGATAAAGATACAAACAGGCAGCCGAAGGCCTGGACCTAGAAGCATCCAGGCCCCATGCTGCCCTTACACTTCATTCTCAAAAGTACAACAAAAACTAATGTACCTGTAAAGCATATAAAATCTGGAGTCACACTGTGCAATTCTGAAACTCAGTCTGCCCCCTTTGGCTGAAAACCCCGTTAAACCCAGGTTTCCTTGAAGTGGGGCTAACAACGGTATTCACCTGAAAACATGACTGAGAAATAAGTAGATTATCACATGGAAAGCCAGAGAACAGCACTGAACACGATGCCTACAGTGCTCTATAAGGATGGCTTTCATCAGACTATTGCATTAGTATTGTTATAAACAGCTACAAGGTAATCTCGATCTTACAGGTAAGGTAAGCAAAGAAACATAAATCAACAAATCACATATCATCAAGAATTAGTTATTTAAAAAAATTATGCTACAATAGTACTACACAAAATTCTGGAAGAAACTGCTAAAAAGTCATCAAATAAATCTTGAAAATGTATGCTGAAATGGAACCAAAGAATAGAATATAGGCAACATAGACTTATGCACAATGATTTAAATACACCGATGGTACTGTGGTTATATATTAGCAACAAAAATGGAGATAGATTAAATATTAAATGTTTATCTTAAGGACAATGAAGTATCTAAGACTGTTGACTGCTTCCCAGAATTCCATGTAGATGTAAGACTTCTGGGTGAGAAACAGATGTTGTTGTTCACTGCACACCAAGAGTTCAAGCTTCCTGTACACACAAGCTCCCTAGCTTGCCTCCTCACTGTGTCCCGGGGACAACAGGGAGCAGTCCACAAGGACAACCAAACCTGAAGAGCCTTTGCCTCCAAGGAAAACAATTATAATGTGTGGGGGGGGGGAATCAAGTCACTCTATGCTACTTAGATAGATATGCCTGAGAGAGAGAGACAGAGAGACAGACAGAGAGAGAGAGAGAGAGAGAGAGAGAGAGAGAGAGAGAGAGAGAGAGAGACTATCTAAGCTGTCCACTATTCGCCGTCCTTCAGATAGAGCAGAACCAAAATGTGAGCATGCAAATGAACTACAAGAAGCGTTGTTGGCCTACACTAACTTATTCATGGTTTAACCACAGACTATAATTATAGTATCTGAGGTTATTAAAAGTCATTTTCAAAAAAATATTCAATAAAAAAACATTAAAAGAGAGAGAATATAGACCAAATTTTGTTTTAAATTCTATTCATATGCAAAGAAAAAGGCTAGTATTACCCAGAGAAGTGAGTCTTTCTGGGTGTTGAGATTATGTATCATTTTGTTTTCATTCTGCTTTTCCAACTAAATGTCTTTTGCTGTGGGATGTTCTGTATGGCAAATGTGCTGCTGATTAGTCAATAAATAAAACACTGGTTGGCCATTGGCTAGGCAGGAAGTGTAGGCGGGACAAGGAGGAGAATAAAGCTGGGAAGTGGAAGGCTGAGCCAGAGAGACACTGCCAGCTGCCATGATGAGAAACAGCATGTGAAGATGCCGGTAAGCCACGAGCCATGTGGCAAGGTATAGATTAATGGAGATGGATTAATTTAAGCTGTAAGAACAGTTAGCAAGAAGCCTGCCACGGCCATACAGTTTGTAACCAATATAAGTCTCTGTGTTTACTTGGTCGGGTCTGAGCGTCTGTGGGACTGGCAGGTGAGAGAGTTTGTCCTGACTGTGGGCCAGACAGGAAAACTCTAGCTACATGTCTTTATCACCTTTATACTCAGAAACAACAACTTTAAGAAAATAGAGACATGACACCAAAACCAGGAGTACCTCCATGACCACCCCCCTACAAAAAAACAAAAACAAAAAAAAACCATGAACACTTGGGTCAATAAAATTAAACTTCTTACATTTCAGATGATACTAACAAAGGCTGGAGATGCAGCCTGGGTGGGAGACTGCACTGCACTGCATTGACTTGGTCTAAATTGTCTGGCAATGCAAGAAGCCCTGGGTTGGATCCCCACTGACCAGCATCACTTCAACCAGGCAGGACGGCACATGTCCACCATCTCAGCAATTGGAAGGTGGAGGCAGGTAGGATCAGACGTTTAAGGTCATCCTTGGCTACAGAGCAAGTTCAAGGCCAGCCTGGGATATATGAGATGTCTCAAAGCCAAAAATGACAAAGAACACTATCAAAACTGAGGAAACCCTACAGAATAGGAGAAAACACTGACAACTCAGATATATGACTGGAGACTGACATCCAGATGAACTCTCACAATTTGACAATTAAAAAGAAAAGGGGGATTGAGGAAGGGGAGGCTAAGAGAGGTTAACTGGGGAAGTGGACATGACCACAGCAGGGCATATGTGTCCATGGAAATTTAACAGTCATATCCATTAGTATGTAGAACTAACAGGCATTGGTGACTTTAAAAAATCTCTTTAAAGAATCTGGAAAAAAATAAAATTTAGCTTCACAATAAATGAAGGATTTAAATAACATTATCTAAAGAAAATACACAAATGGTTAATAAGCACAGGAGAAAATACTTAGCACCCTCAGTCATTAGGGGACACAAACAGAAAATGCAGATGAGAAACCACTTGACACCAACCAGGAAGGGGTCAGCGATGAAATGTGAAATACCCTCACGACAGGCTCATGGGCTGGACACTTGGGCTCCTGCAGGCAGCACTATGTAGGGAGGTGCTGGAAACAGGAAGGAGGTCCCTGGGGGCATGCTTCTGACAACAACACCCACTCAGTCTCTTCTTTGCTATTTCCTGTCCACCATGAGGAATCTCCCCTATCCCGTGTGCCCATCGTCATGATGTTCAACCCAACTGAACTAGGCCAACCGATCATGGACCCAAAACTCTGAAACTGTGAGCCGAAGTAGGGCATCCTCTCATACTCTTGTCACATGAACTAACTAAAAGCAAGCAAGCAAACAAACAAACAAAAAAAGGCAGTTGGCAGTGTAGAGAAGTCCTTAACATGTTAAGCAAAGTTTCTCTAGAATTTAGCAATTCTACTCTTAGAGAAAAGATATTAAGAAAACTGAAACATAGCTCCACATTAAAAATCCATACACATAAGCTCATAGTGGAATTATGTAGTAACACTCAGGGAGTAGTAACACAACTTGGCCAAAACTAGAAATAAGGTTTAAAAGGCCATAAAGAGCCTTATATTCTATGACTCAATTCATATGAGATTTCCAGAAAAGATAACATAGTGCAGATAAAACATATATTATTGATTGCTAGAGAAATGGAACGTGACCACTCATGAGTATGGGATTTCTGTGGGGGTAATAACAGTGGTCAGAGCTGGGCAGGGTGGTACACACCTGTATGTACACTCTACTATTTTTATCATCTGCAAATTATTTGCCAAATAAGAGAAAAAGCCCTAGTGTCAATGGTATAATGATGATGACCGGGGGAGAGGAAGAGAATCCCAAGTCTTACTGTCGAGGGAGAACTCACAAATGAGATTACTATTCCCAAATGGAGGATACAATCAAACTGGTCAGTTTGACATTAATTCTAGACAAGATTCTAAAATTAGTTACTTAATGGAACTTTGCAGCAACCTAAAAAAGGAAACCATCAGGAGCATCAAGATTCACTCAGTCATCATTTCAAAGGTCTGTACTTCCTTTCTTTCTCTTGAACTATTTGGAGGAGAGAGGGAGGATGGGCTAAAAGACCTAGTAGAGCTACCAAGGTCAAAGCCCTAAGAAATCGGGGCAAATGGCATCAGCTGCTGAGAATGTACACACCCTAGTTTCTCTTGGATAAGAGGAGGAGCAAGGTTACAAAGCGAAGCACAAGATATACTGCATGGTACCAAACTGAGGACGGGTATAAGGATCCAAAGCAAGATTAAGCAACAATCTAAATCCAATGGAAAACAAGCAAACAAACCAAAACTCTGACCCACGTAAGTTTAAGGCATTGTAAGTCAAGGCTAACCAATGATTTCTTTGGGAGTGATGGAAGTGTTCTGGGACTGGATAGTGATGATGGGTGCACAACGCTGCGCATGCACTAAAACCACGGGGTTGCATATTTGATACAAGGGTCTTACATCATTTACATTTTATCACATTAAATATAAATGTAATCATTATGTGCAATATATATATATATGCTATATATAAGAGGACTCACAATACAATCAAGTTATAGAGACAAGGCATATGAAGCCTAGATTATTAATGCCTATTTTTTAAAAAAAAAATGAAGTACTGAAATAAAGACTACTGTTCATTCTCTCAAGTATTATTTATTTAATGCATGCTTACTTGGTACCAAGCACCATGTGAGGTGCTGTGGATGCAGGAGTGAATACATCCACATTCTTCTGGGACTCCCAGGTAAGAGAGGAAACTCAACATCCAACAAATACCACCCAAGTGAATATAATAATCAAAATGAGGGACACAAAAGAACAAAATGGTCCTATACAAGAAATACAACAGGCAAGTCTAATTTAGATGAAGGACACAGGCAATAGCCCCTCTGAGGTTACATTTACTACATTTATTTATTTTATGTGTGATTTGTCTGTATTTATGTGTATGCACCACATGAGTGCTTGGTACCTGTACAGGTCAGAAGAGGGCATTGGATGCCCTGGAACTGGAGTTATAGATGGTTGTGAATTATCATGTGGGTGCTGCGAATTGAAGCTGGGTCCTCTGCAAGAGGAACAAGTGCTCTTAACCACTAAGCCAACTCTCCAGGCCTGGAGTGTACATTTAATTTGAAACTATGACTATGAGAAATTTAGCCTGGTAAAGAAAAGATCGGAGTGAGTGCACCATCCCTCATTCCTCCCGCAATGGAATGACAGTGCACAAGTCCCGAGGTAGAGAAGAACCCGTCCACACTTGATAAACCTTCAAAGGGCATTGCCCTGGTCAGGAAATGGTCACTAAATAAAGCTAGGGAATTAGGACAAGTCAGTCACACAAAGCCCTAAAGTCCTCTGGGGATTCTTGTTTTGTGTACAGGTTCAGAGAGAAATCACTCAAAATACTGTGACAGAGAAGAAAGATGGCTGATTCCAATGGCTTGATTGGATATTAAAAAAAATAAATAAATAAATAAAAACAGACAAAAACCTAGAGCATTAATGAGGCACATGGATGTGGGAAGCACCATCCCAAGAGCTGGGGTCCCAGAATAGATCAAAAGGGCACAATAACTAAGTGGTATCATTCCCCTTTCTCTGCCTCCTGCTGAACACCAAGGACCAAGCCATTCTACCTTCAAGGCCTCTTCCTCCGTGATGGACTGCAAACCCTTCAACCGCGAGCCAGAGTAAACCCTTCCCACCGCAAGTTGCTTTCTGCCAGGTGTCTGGTTGCTGCTCTGAGAAAATTAATCCAAGTAACGGGTGACCGTGTCCTGTCCTAACAGAATCACCCAGGCAAGAAGAAAACAGAAAATGAGGAGACTCTAGAGTAAGGGCTCAGACCAAGGAGTGGGAGTCGGAAGGAAGAGGAAGCATTTCAAGGTCTGTACCAGAGAGGATCACATATTCCATCAATAACTCAAATTTACAGATGTGGAGGAAATGCCTTTCAGAAGATTACTCAGCCAGACCCCAGACAACCAAAAGAAATTCTTACCAACACTTCAAGCTGTTTCTAGCAACTCAGAAGTCTTTTTATGTAAGTAATTCTTGAGCTCAAATAATTACCAACTTTCCAAGAGCACTGGCATGGTTTCTGGGTGGTAGTGAAAGATCAACAGCAGAGCAGGGACCCCAATTTCCACTGTCAAGAGTACAGGTAACACCACGCGGCCTCACTTCACCCAACTGCAAAGCAGCTTGTTCTTGGGGTATTTTTTCCCCTGGTAGAAACGCATCGTATTTAGCCTATGTTCTGTTAACAGTTTTAGTAAAGTGTACACACAGGCACACAGAGAAGGAAAGAAATATGTACATGGCATTCCTAATTATTCATATGTATGTATCTTCTTAAACTTCACTCCAGAGCACAGGTGGTGACAGCTATTAGTTTTCACTGCACAAATCAATAACTTACATTGTTAATGGGAAAGCAACTATACATTATGGTGATATTTTATTTGTGCTGAAATGTGATTTTATTTGTATATTAATAAAAGTTGCCTGGGGGTCAGAGCTAATAGCAAGCCATTTAGCAGAAGTCTGGCAGTGGTAGCACACACCCTTAATCCCGATCACATGGCAGGCAGAGTCTGTGTGTTCAAGGACATAGCCAGCTTGGAGACACACGCCTTTAATCTCAATACCAACCAAAGAAGACCTGGAGGTCTGTATAGACAGGCAGTGATGAGGAGGTCATGTGGTTGGGTTTACAACCAATGAGAAGGCAGAACAGAAAGTCAATAAAAAGACAGACACACAGGAGGTAGGCCTCTTTCTCAGGGGAAGGACGGCAGCGACAGCGAGGGGTAAGAAGGCAGTCTTAGTCTTGGCTGCTGCTCGATCTCTGGGCTTTCAACTCTGCATTTGGCTCTGTGTTTCTTATTTAATAAGACCGTTCAGAATTACATCTACAATATACCATACATACATGCACTTATTTTCTTCAAAACAAACCCATTTCCATCCTGGTAAATATGGCACCAAATGAACAGTTAAACAAAATTTGTATATACAGACCCAAGATATAAAACTATGAAGTCAACAAAAACTGCCTATTCAGTTTCCAGAGAAGGTAACGGGAGCATGAAGTAAGTAAAGTATGACTATGACTGTTAACAGCTACACATTTCACAATGTATGCTTTGAAAGTAGCTGGACTCTTTTTCTTCAGGCATATGCAACCTTTAATGTGTAAAATTCATGTGTTTGGTGTATGCACCTCTAGAGGCTAGAGCTTGACCCTGGACGCCTTCCTCTGTTGTTCTATGACTCTCCGCCTCATTTTTGAGGCAGGGTCTCTCTTGATGAACTTGGAGCTTGCTGTTTTGACTAGACTGGCCGGTGAGCTATGGCAAGCCTCTTTATCTCCACCCACCCCTCGGCGCTGGGGTTAGAGGTGTGTGTCAACACACAACCCAGCTTTTATGCGGGTGCTGGGGATCCTCATACTTGTGTAATGCACACTTCACTCACTGAGTCATCTTCCAAGCCCAACATATTTAACCTTTTGATGTTACTATATACGACCTTGTCATCTACAAAGTTCACAGCGGAGTACCATGCAATTAAGCTTTGCTTGTTTGATCTCATAGTGTTTTAAGTTTCCTGTTTTGTGCTGAGCTGCATTCACAGCTACCCTTGAAGCACTATACACTGCCTACAAGGTAGTGATAAATTGAAAACCATTTTGAAAAATACTTCTTGGCTATGTCCAAGGTGAAACAGAGTTAGGACCAGAAAATGACTTTACTCTCCCAAGTTCGTACTGAAAGAGAGAATGCCACCCAGTGCCACGAGAGATCCCCTGTCACCCTTGCTGCTGACATCCACACAAGACACCATCTGTATAAAGGGCCTCTTCATCATGAAAGAAGAATGCCCTTGGTGAGAAACAAAGGAAATTCAGGGGTTAAATTCATCATTCTCCGATACATTATTTAGTACCACTTAAGCCCTGAAAGCCTTGGGCCACCTATCTTGCGGTTTACTGCACTGTCTTCCAAGTTTACAATTTCCTGATTGTAAAGCAACAATTTAATTCCACAGTGCAACATCAATACAATTTACATTTACCACTGGAGCTGACATTCTCCAGCAAGATAGAAGATGGATTCCTCTACAAACATAATATTAAAGAGGTTTTTACTAAGAGGTATCGGCCTCCATTTCAGACTGTAGGAATAAATTCTTCTTGCTGGGTACAGAGCAAAGTAACCACATTTACCTTCCCATGAAATAATAATACCCCTGGGGCCACATGAGTTCTGTTCATTTGGATATAGCTTCGGCCTAAGTCTGTCGGGGGCCTAGATTTTAAATATAAGATGTTTTTGAAAGGGCTGTGTGGTGTTAACAAGAGACAGACAACAGGATTTTAAGATGTATTCCTTCCCAGGGGTTTTGAAAACCTGACAGTAATTTCTATTATTATTTTCATTCTAAACTATATTACAACAACAAAGAGTGGTAAGGTTGGGTACAGTGGCCAAGGCTTCCCGTCTTATTTGACTGGTGAGTTTAACACCCACCCACGGACGACTCTATACGCAGCATCCTTCTTCCCTAAGAACCAAACAAAGTGGAAACAGAGGAATACGCCATCACTCCGTTACGGCAAGTATGGATCCTAAGCTCAGAGGAAGGGCCCTAGCAGCTCCCACCCTGGAATGGGAAAGGATGCATCGGGTGAGTCTGAAGTCTTAGCATCAACGAGCTTTCAAGTTCATTCAAGCCATCTGTTTATAATGCGCTTTCCTTGCACCTGCCATTCGAGGCTTGCGTCCCTTTCAAACTGCTCAGAGCTACCAGCACCTTTTTAAAATGGAATTTTTAGATGCCTAGCACCAAGCGAGCAGAAAAACCTTGTTACTCCACAGACAATTAGGGTTCATTCCCTCCTGCCCACCCCTGCGTCCACTGCGCACCCCTCAACTCCCCACCCCACCCACCCCCACCCCCAAATCCAAGGACGAGGCTCCTGCTAGGCCTGTGAGCCAGCAAGAGAGAAAAGACCAGGCTCGCAGCGTTCAGGGAGATGCTAGGGAGCCGCCAGCTCCTCCCTCGTTCGCGGTCCAGCTCCCCGCCGGGCAGCCCCGTGCGCTCAGCATCCCTCCTGCTCTCCCTCCTCCGCCCAGGCCACCAACCTTGGGCGTGCGGATGTGCTCCATGGCGGCCCCGCGTCTGCAGGGTCCCCGGCGAGCGGGCGGGCGGGCGCGGCCTCACGCACCTGCGCGCGCGTGCGGCGCAAGGGGAAAGGGAGGGGAGGGGGCTTCGGCGGGAGCGGGCGTGGGCGGGCCCGCGGGCCTGGCTCCGCCTCCAGGTGCGCGGAGACGTGTGTGTGCGCGCGCCCCTGGGCGCCTGCGCGCGGGGGCCCCGGAGCGCGGCTCTGCGCCGGCTCGCACCTGCGGGTCTCACCCTTGGACTTCGCTCTCCGTCCTGCTCACACTGCCCAAGCGGCTGGATTCTTTTGCAAGATGGGCGGCATCCTCGAGTCGGCCGTGGTAGCGCTTGCCTGAAGTCCCAGCCACTCAGGAGGCTGAGGCAGGAGAATCGTGTGGGTCCAGCAGCTTGGATCCAGCAAGAGAGCCCTAGACATCCCCGTATTTTAAAAAAGAAGGAAAAGAAAAAGAAAAAAAAAAAAAATCAAAGCCGGTCAGCCGTCGTAACACCGTAATACTGTGGCACTACTGTCTCCTAGGACACAAAGAGGGCCTTGTGTTGGGGTGTGGCTTCTTGGAGAGATGCGAATAAATATGTGTAGCTTTACACCCTCATTGGCTGCCTTCCAGAGCATCCTAGGATAGGTGGGATTTCGGGGGGGGGGGGGGGGGGACTACAAATGCACCCTGATGTGGTACGCATAGTCTAGTGGGCTCTGGCTGTATTTTGGCCCAGGCTCAGCCAGCCGAGTATTTGGAGTAAAAGTGAGATTAATACCGACATTGTTTGCGCCTTAGTAAGTTTGCTGTTAAGTCAGACATCTCACAGCACCATGCGACTTCACTGTGGGAACTCTTGATAGAGATGTGAAAACACTTGGCCCCGTACTAAGTACACGTTGGCCATCTTTACCTAGCTTTAAACAGAAACTAGAGACACAGTTCATCCATTATGAGGTTCTTTAAAGCCTCTGGGGAAAGCCGGAGACTGAAAAAGCAAACAAACAAACAAACAAACAAAAAACACGTCAGCTCTAAGTGGACACCCTCTGCCATACTGAACATATTTCATAGAACAATTCTTGGAGGAGTATTTGTTTCATTGTTTTCCTGGCCCTTATTTATGGCAGTTTTGTAAATTCTTTGGCCATACATACTGCTTGTTTATTTGTTTGTTTTTATCTCCTTCTGTTCAAATGTCTGGTAGGCATCTTGCAATCTTCCAAATATTTATTCAATAATGTCGAGCTCGTTTTAAAATCGTCACATCCCCTTCACACATTTTAGGCCATTTTCATCCTTCTACCGCCCTGGAAGCTAGATTGGAACAAGTACTATAAACTGTCACTTGTAAATGACAAAAATGACCCAAAGTGTAATTTCCTCTTTAGTAAAGAGCACCAGGCATAGTCGGTAGCTCTTTCTGGTCTCTACTCAAACTGGCCCCACTCTCCTCATTTACAGAATGAGAACACCATCTCCTGCCTAGATGACCTCATCTCCAAATTAAATCTTACATCTGTCTGGGGATGGGGGGGACATTCTGAACCGGTCAACAGTCCTGGAATGATGTGCTTTCAGGTTCTCTTTCTCTCTTCTGGTAGGCTGATCAAGAGTCTACTGGATCAGCAATTTTTGCCTATGAATGCTATTGTATAGATTTGAAAACATCAATCAGTACTCAAAGAGATGCAAGTCTGAACAATTTAAGATTAATTTAAAATGTTTATCATTTAAAAATCATTGTACTTATAAAAACACCCTTGTAAAATAAGCACTAAGTTAAATTAATCGATTATATGCCAATCATTAGGATAAGTTAACAAAATATGATGGAACTATAATAATAGGAAAAAGCCGGGCGGTGGTGGCGGTGCACGCCTTTAATCCCAGCACTCTGGAGGCAGAGCCAGGTGGATCTCTGTGAGTTCCAGGCCAGCCTGGTCTACAGAGCGAACTCCAGGACAAGCACCAAAACTACACAGAGAAACCCTATCTCGAAAAATCAAAATAATAATAATAGTAATAATGATGATGATGAAAGAAGTTTCTACTAAGCAATTGGGCTAATAATTCCCTAAGGAATATTTCTTAACTTGTTCTATAGCGCCATCATTTAATGGAGGTTAATTCAATGAGAAGGTGTTTAGTCATCAGTAGCCCACGAAGTCTCAAGTACTTAGAACGCTACCATATATCCCTCAGGTTCTCTGTCTCTGGTACTTGGGATGCCGCCATATATCCCTCAGGCTCACTGCTTTCATTACTCACCACCCAGTAAAACAGAAGAGGCTGAAGGGTTTTGTTTTGTAGAGGGGATCTTAGAGTGGTAAGGTGAGGGAACGCTATATGTTATTGAAACATCTAATTTCAATATATTATTGAAACATCTAATTTCAATATGTCTATACCCATGGAATGCCTAACTAAGTTCATCCTAGGTAGATGATAAAGCTGAGTAATCATTTATTGAAGAGACACTCATTATTTAAGCAATTCATACTCAGAGTATCACAGGAGATGCCAAGAGACTGATGGGTGATGTAGATGAGAATACTAAGCTATAAATGTGGTACAGCTAACACCAAGCAAATGAAGGTAAACCAACCAAGATGTTTCCACACAAAATGTGAGGAAATGCCTAAGGAAACCTCCCAACAATAATTTGTACCTTGAACCTTTTTGCTATTCCTTAGATGAAACCCAACGGATAGAGTTAGAATCAGATACTTAATTCTTAAAGTTCAGTGTTGCTAGAGGGATTTTAAAATAAAAACTTACTATAAACTGGGGACTTTTCCAATACTCTGTGATCTTCAGTGGCCTGAAGAGATCTGGAAATGTGCCAAACACAAGACTTTCTGGAATACTTAGATTTCTCCCAAGACAACTCAAATTTATGATCTGGCAATGATGCCAAAAAAGTGTTTCCTTGGAGGCTAGTGTGGCTAATGATTGCACATTTGGTAAAACCCTAGTCAGAACTATTAAACCCTAACGGTCCATGCTCCATGTAGAGGAGTGCACACATCTCCAAACAAGCCCAGCCTCTGGTAGAAAATGTTATGAGGCACCTACATGAGAAGAAGAGAGGTATGTGGGGTTTTGCCTTGTAGGGAAAAACTGACACCACCTTCAGGGTTTAAATAAAACTGATAGTGTGAAATGTCACATCTTTTTTTTGCTTTGTCTTGTATCAAAGATATAGAGAAAAAAACACTAAATGGATTGTAGACAGCTCTGCCCTTTTTCCAGAAACCAGAAAAGAAACATCAGGGCAGCCAAAAAGAGCACTAACTCTGTGAGCAGGCAGGGTTTTTAAATAGTCTCTTTCATTTTGTTCTCTCTCCAGGAAGACTCGGGGCTCAAGCCAAGTCTGTGTCCTTAGGCCACTTATATTGCTTATTCCTTTTCACTCCCATCCTTCAAGACTACTTTACTACGTGTAATTCCCACCTTGGTATTTCCAAATCCCAAATTTCCTCCTTAAATATTGCAGTTCCATTTACCTCCTCGGTGTAGCCCCTTGGATATCCTTTGCAGCCTGGGGACATAGCTCAGTTGGTAAACTGTTTGCCACATTAACATGAAGACCCGAGTTTGGATTATATAAAATTCAAGTATGGTGGAAGAGACGCTTGCCATCCCACCACTGGGAAAGCAGGGACAAGTGTATGATGCTAGGACTCACTGATCAGCCAGCCCTATCTAATCAGGCAAGCCACAGATCCCAGTAAGAAACCCTGTCTCAAAAAACAGGGTAGATGACTTCTTGGGAATGACACCTGAGGTTGATCTCTGCTCTCTCTCTCTCTCTCTCTCTCTCTCTCTCTCTCTCACACACACACACACACACACACACACACACACACACACACACACACATCTACCCACAAGCCCACACACGCACACAAGCTCATGCACCCACATAAATGCACACGACCATACACATGCAATAATAATCCACTTGTCACAAACCAAGTATGGTTAAGAACTTGGGCACTGAAAGGCTATAGGCTTTTATTCCAATCACGACTCTGACCTATGTTAGCTCTGGAACCTTGGTTAGGTCATTTGGCCTCTCAGCTTTCAGGCCTCTTGTATATATAATGTGTATGATGATGGTGCAATGGTCTGGATATTTGTGCTCCTTCAAAATGTATGTGTCTAGACTTGAACCCCTGAGGCAGTGGGATTAGAAGTTGGGAATTTGAGGAGGCAGCTCCTTTAGGATTCACTAATGAAGGTCGTGAATAGGATTAGGTTCCATGAGGAAACCCCTTATGTCTTATATCAAGCAAGTTGTGGTGAAGAGACACAATCAATGAACCAGAAAAATGGGTCTTCAGCAGACAAAAATGAGCTGGTATCTTTATTTGGAACTTCCTAGCCTCTAGAATGGTAAGTAACAGATGTCTGTTGTTTATAAGCCACTCCATTTATAGTATTTTTGAGTACTGAAGCCAAACCAGACAAAGACAGATATGACAAAGCAAAGCTCTCTTTGTCATGCTGAGCAGATAGATA